CCAAGCAGCATCATAGGAGCAGATCTGCTCCTATGATGCTGCTTGGCCTGCTGTGTTCATCCAGCCCTGCACCTTGTTGTCACAGTGGGTAATAGGCAAGGCAAATGGAATATTGGCCTTTATTCCAAGGGGAATACAGAAGTTAGACCATGGCTGGAATACTGTAAACAGTTCTGGTTCTGTTTTCTAAAGCAAGATATCCCAAGGTTCACTTGATTGATCTTGGGTATGGAGGGATTTTTTATGAGGAGAGTTGAGTAGGTTGGGCTTGTACTCCTTAGAGCTTCGGAGAACGAGAGGAGACCTTACTAAAACATCTGAGATTATTCGGTTTCTTGCCAGGATAAATGTGGAGAGGTTGTTTCCCCTTTTTTAGAACCAGAAAGCAGAATAATGAGTTATCCATTTAAGACAGGCAAGGAAGATTTTCTTTCTGTCTGGGTGGTGAATCTGTTGAATTTTTTACTGCAGAGGGCGAGTTCATTAGTATATTCAAGGTTGAGATAAACAGGTTTTTAAATCAGTCAGGAAATTGAGGTTGTTACGGGGAAAAAGGCAGGTTTAAGTAGATTATAAGTAGTTCATCAGCAACTTTCAACTGTTCAGTATTTTGAAAACAACAGTAAATGTATAAAGATTAGTGAATTGGTGAGGATATTTCAGCAAACCGTATGATTAACAATAATATTAAAATCATACTGACCCTTAATGATTTTTATACCTCTAACTTCTAAAAATTTATAAACCATGAATATGTTTGTGGGTTTTAAAATTATTAACCCCTTTACAAGCTTGCAACTATAACAGTTTCAGGTAAGAGCCTTGTAGTATTAGAAAGAACACTAAATCAAAGTAGAGAATGTTATTCAATGGTTGATGGTTCTCCTTTTCAACTTCACATGCAGAAAACCATACAGAATATGACGAACATAGAAGAAGCCAAGAATTACCATATGTACTCATGTAAAAGTCAAATTTTTTAGACTGTCTTAAAGTTAAATTCATGGGGTTGACAATTACATGGATGCTACTTTTGAGGGGCTGAAATCCATGCTACAGTCCAAAATACCAAATCATTAGCAGAATCCCAATTGATCTCTAAACGAAAGCCTCGACTATATGTGTGACTGTATTCCACAAGTGCTACAGGGGAACTGAGTGGCACACAAAGGGAGGTTGTCACCTGTCTGTGACCCGATGCGACTTAAATTTTTGTGCCAAATTGGTGTGAACTGTACGTCAAACACATAATAGCACAGAAAAAAAATTAATTTCCTCATCGTAACGTTTATGTACAGGATAATATCTTGACTCACAAATGTTGACCTGTTCTCTGTGAAGAACTAGGGTCGACTTGTACACGAGATATTTGAAAAATTCCAGACTTGTTGGCCAAAATAGGGGCACAACTTTTACATGACATGGACTTTTACTTGAGTATATAACAGTAGTCAAAAATCTGCTGATGTAACTGGAGGCTTGCTTTGTATATGCCAGAAGATACATTCATCTATCTATGCCCAACTTTTCTTGCCCTGTTTTATTAAGATTTATAACAACTTGCAAAAGCATTGTGATGCCTTCAATTCTAAGTCAGTTGTTATAATGGCAGATCATTTTCGCTCATGTAAATTCAAAAGTCATTTAGACATTATATGTTCCAATCATAACTCTCTACTTAACCTATGCTATAGAGTCATAGAGACGTACAGCGTGGAAACAGACCCTTTGGTCCATCTCGTCCACGCCGACCATATATCCTAAATTAATCTGGTCCCAAATGCCAACATTTGGCCCATCTCCCTCTAAACCCTTTCTATTCATATACCAATCTAGCTGCCTTTTAAATGTTGTTGTTGTACCAGTATCCACCACTTCCTCTGGCAGCTCACTCCATACAAGCACCACTCTTGTGTGAAAAAGTTGCCCTTTAGGACCCTTTTAAATCTTTCCCCGTCACCTTAAACCTATGCCCTCTAGTTTTGGACTCCCCCATTCCAGGGAAAAGATCTTGACTATTTACCTGATCCATGTCCTTCATGATTTTTTAAACCTCTATAAGGTCACCCCTCAGCGTTTGACGATCCAGGGAAAATAGCCCCAGCCTGTTCATCCTCTCCCTATAACTCGAACCTTCCAACCCTGGCAACATTCTTGTAAATCTTTTCTGAACCTTTTCAAGTTTCATTACATCCTTCCTGTAGCAGGATGACCAGGATTGCATGCAGTATTCCAACAGTGACCTAACCAATGTCCTGTACAGCCACAACATGACATCCCAACTCCTATACTCAATGCACTGATTAATAAAGGCAAGCATACCAAATGCCTTCTTTCACTATCCTATCTACCCGCAGCTCCACTTTCAAGGAACTATGAGGCTGCACTCCAAGGTCTGTTTGTTCAGCAACACTCCCCGGGTCCTTACTATTAAGTGTATAAGTCCTGCCCTGATTTGCCTTTCCAAAATGCAGCACCTCACATTCATCTAAATTAAACTCAATCTGCCACTCCTAAGCCCATTGGCCCATCTGATCAAGATGCCATTGTACTTGGATGTAACCTTCTTTGCTGTCCACTATGCCTCCTATTTTGGTGTCATCTGCAAGCGTACTGAGCATACCTCCTATGTTCACATCCAAATGGTTTATATAAATGACAAAAAGCAGTGACCCAGCACTGATCCTTGTGGCACACCACTGGTCACAGGCCTCCAGTCTGAAAAGAAGGGTCCTGACCCGAAATGTCACCTTTCCTGCTCCTCTGATGCTGCCTGGCCTGCTGTGTTCCTCTAGCTCCATACTGTGTTGACTTGTCATCCTGCTGTCTTCTACCTTTTGAGCCAGTTCTGTATCCAAATGGCTAGTTTTCCCTGTATTCCACGTGCTGCAACCTAGCTAACCAATCTACCATGAGGAACCTTGTCGAACACCTTACTGAAGTACGTATAGTTCACATCCACTGCTCTGCTGATACCTGGCTTCTTCATTACTTCTTCAAAAAACTCAATGAAGTTCGTGAGACATGATTTCCCATGTACAGAGCCATGTTGACTATCCCTATTCAGTCCCTGCCTTTCCAAATACATGTAAATCCTGTCCTTCAGGATTCCTTTTGACAACTTGCCCACCAGCAATGTCAGGCTCACCGGTCTATTCTTTCCTGGCTTTTCCTTACTACCTTTCTTAAATAGTGGCACAATGTTAGCCAACCTCCAGTCTTCCGCCACTTCACCTGTGGCTATTGATGATAAAAATATCTCAGCAAAGGGCCCAGTAATCACTTCCCTGGCTAACCACAGAGCTCTCGGGCACACCTGATCAGGTCCCAGGGATTTATCCACCTTTGTGTTTTTTGAGCTGTCCAGCACCACCGCCTCTATAATATGGACATTTTTCACAATATCGCTATTTATGTTCCTACGTTCTACATCTTCCATCTCCATCTCTACAGTAAACGCTGATGCAAAATACTCTTTTAGTATCTCCCCCACCTCCTGCGGTTCCACACATAGGCAGTCTTGCTGATCTTTAAAGGGCTTTATTCTCTCCCTGGTTACTTTTTTGTCCTTAATGTATTTACAGAATCCCTTTAGATTCTCTTCATCCCTATTTGCCAAAGCCAGTTCATGTCCCCTTCTTGCCCTCCTGATTTCCCTCTTAAGTATGCCTTTGTACTCTTCTAGGGATTCACTCGATCTTTGCTGTCTATACCTGACATATGCCTCCTTCTTATTCTTGACCAAAACCTCAATTTTGTTAGTCATGCAGCATTCCCTACACTTACCGGCCTTACCCTTCACCCTAACAGGAACTTACTGTCCTTGAATTCTCTTTATCTCATTTTTGAAGGCTTCCCATTTTCCAGCAGTCCATTTACCTGCAAACATCCACCACCCCATCAACTTCTAAGAATTCTTGCCTAATACTATTAAAATTGGCCTTCCTCCAATTTTAAAATTTAACTTTTAGATCCGGTCTATCCTTTTTCATCACTGTTTTAAAACTAATAGAATTATGGTCACTGGCCCCAAAGTGCTTCCCCACTGACACCTCAGTCACTTGCCCTGCCTTATTTCCCAAGAACATAGAACATAGAACAGTACAGCACAGTACAGACCCTTCGGCCCACGATGTTATGCTAAACTTTTACCCCAAACCTAAGGTCTATCTAACCTCCACCCCTACCTTATACTATCATCCATATGCCTACCTAATAGCCGCTTAAATGCCCCTAATGAGGCCGACTCCACTACCCTCTCCGTCAATGCATTCCACGCCCCTACCACTCTCTGAGTAAAGAGTAGGTCAGGTTTTGCACCTTCTTTAGTAGGTACATCCACATACTGAATCAGAAAATTTCCTGTATACACTTAACAAATTCCTCTCCATCCAAGCCCTTAACACTATTGCAGTCCCGTTCCATGTTTGGATGGTTAAAATCCCCTATTATTCTTGCAGATAACCAAGACCTCTTTACAAGTTTGTTTCTTAATTTCCTGCTGACAATTAGCGGAGTCTATAGTACAATCCCAATAAGGTGATCATCCCTTTTTTATTTCTCAGTTCCATCCATATAACTTCCCTGGATGTAATCCCAACCGTAATGTTATCCCTAATCAAAAACGCTACTTCCTTCCTCTCTTGCCTCCCTCTCTATCCTTCCTATAGCCTCTATACCCTGGAACGTTAACCTGTCAGTTCTTTCTATCCCTGAGCCACGTCTCTGTAATTGCTATGATATCCTATTCCCATGTTCCTAACCATGCCCTGAGTTCATTTGCCTTACCAGTTAGGCCTCTTGCATTGAAATAAATGCAGTTTGATTTATCAATCCTACCTCGTTCTCTGCTTTGTTCATGCCTGCCCTGACTGACTTGCTTCTTTTCCAAACTGTGTCGGTCCCAGACTGATCTCTTTCTTTGGGTCCCACCTTGCTCTTACTGGTTTAAATCCTCCTGAGCAGCTCGAGCAAATCTCCTCTCCAGTGTATTAGTCCCCCTCCAATTCAGATGCAATCTAACCTTCTATACACATCACTTCTACCTCAGAAGAGATTCCAATGATCCTAATACGTGAATCCTTCTCCCCTGCACCAGCTCCTCAGCCACACATTCATCTGCTCCATCCTCCTGTTCCTCACTAGCTCTTGGCACCAGGAGTAATCCAAACATTATTATCCTCAAGGAACTGCTTTTTAAATTCTGTCCTAACTTCTTATATTCTCTCCTCAGAATCTCATCCTTTTCTCTTCTGTGTCATTAGTTCCAATGTGTACAACGACCTTCTGCTGGTTTGTCTCCCCTTCGAGAATATTCTGCACCCTCTCCGAGATATCCTTGATTCCAGCAACAGGGAAGCAACACACCATTGTGACAGCTCGCTGTCAGCCACAGAAATGTCTGTCTATGCCTCTGACCAGAGAGTTCCATATCACAATCAACTGCATGGAACCTGACATACCCCTCATTACATTAGAGCCAGTCTCGGTACCAGAAACCTGGCTGTCAGTGCTTTCCCTCAAGAGTCCATCACTCCCTACGTTTTCCGGAACAGCATGCCTGTTTGAGATGGGGATAGACACAGGAGACTCCTGCACAACCTGCCTCCCTCTCCTATTTTTCCTGGAGGTAACCCATCTACCTGACTGTCTCTTTGGTTTATCTCCCTTCCTGAAACTGCCATCCATCACACCCCCAGCTCCTGTAAATTCCTCATTACCTCTAATTGCTGCTGCAACCATTCCATGCAATCTTATAGGATTCGCAACCAAACATACTTCGTGCAGACATAATCATCAGTAACATGAATACTCTCCCTACTCTCCCACATCCAACAGGAAGGGTACATCACTTTATTAAAGGCCATCTTTGTGCCTTAACAATCTACAGATCCAGAAAGTAACATAATCTTACTGTTCCAAAAAACAGTGCTGCAGGCTAACTTAGTACCTCTGTTCTATATTTTTAAAGTTTAATCAGAGACAGATCTCTATAAAACATATAATCAAAAAGGAACACACTCTTCTCATTGTTGTAGATTTACAAAAAAAACCAGTAAGGTTACACTTTAAAAAGCCACTTAGTTGCTCCCTTGCTGTGAGTTCTTCCATCTGGGTTTCTCCATCGTCAGCTATGAATTTCACTGTTAATTTTTCTTAAACTGAGTGCTTATTCTGTTTCGGGTAAACAGTAAGCATTTATTTTCCTCATCCTCTAAGTTCTCATCTTTTGTGTTTTATAACTCATGCCCACTTTTTGGAAGGGTACAGTAAATGCATCTGTATAGTCTGAAAAGTTTTTGTTTTTATCCTCAGAGCTGAAAGATGAACGGAAAATTCTGGAACGCGATCTGCAGCAGGCACCATCAATACAAAGTCTGTTACAGGTTCGCAAACCACCTGGGTGCAGGTCCTCAAAGAGATCCTGCAGGTAACATGTATTCAGAGCACAGTTTCCTCCTCCTTAAATCATAGGTGAGCAGGGAGGCTCTGATATGTTACGCCTGAAGTACTTGTTTGAACACTGTGTTCAGCAGATTATTGAATCAGTTTCAGGATCCCTAAACTAACCAATTAGAATGATATCATTGTTAGTGAGGAATTCTATTATGATTTCAAGCAACATAGTAAAATGTCAGAAACCCCAATGTTGGGAAATGTTTTATGATGATCAAACAAAAGTGAGCTGTTCAAAGATACCTGGAGAAAACAATTGCATTTGCATGCATGGTAAATGCAGGGTTACAGGGATAGGGTGGGGATCTGGTCTCAGTGGGATTCTCTTATGAGGGTTAGTGCGGACAAGGTGGGCTAAATAGCCTCTTTCTGCACTGTAGGGATTCTATGAATCCTGAAATTGTATTCCTGTTTATATGACTGTTTTAAACTAAATTCCTTTTAACTTTTAATGCAAACTTTACGTCTATAAAAGTAACATGTTGATAAATATTTTAATGCAAATGTGAGTGAATAGCATGAGCTTCATGAGCACTACTATGGATACACTTGTCCAGGTGAGGTTTTCTGTCAGACACTTGACATGGTCATTGTTGATTTTGGAGAGACTTTCAGGGGTTTGAATGTAAGCAATTTGTAGCTATACTGTTAAAGCTGATCCAGCTAAGCATAATTAATGATTACCCACTATGTTGATGATATCATACTTTTGAAAGTTGCAAAACGTGTGAATCTTGTTGGAGGTGGTCATTTATCTGGAACTTGCATTGTACAAACGTTACCTGCTACATGTCTAACCAAACTGATGCACTGCAGCCCATTCAGAGAGCTGTCAACAAAACTGAAGACTATATAATTGCCATCGATAAACAGGCCCAGTCTATCTTAAACATTTTTTTAAGCTTCATATAAAATCTTCAGGTTCTACCCAAACACATCTGGCCTGGAGCTTACAACTAAAACCCTTGCACTGAGGTAACCTATTTCCTAACTTCTCTGAACTAGCTCCTTTCTCAAGGCAAAACTGTTTCATGCTTCCAACTTCGAGCAAGACTTGTGGAAACTGAAAACAAAAGCTCTTCCAAGCTGTGACCTTTTCCTAGAAGGAAAAAAAATCCTAATTCTTCTCACAGAAATTAATGCTCTTCAATGCCTATTCTGTCCGCACGTAAAGCTCGCCTAATGCAAACAAATCCTCATGATCATCCTGGGGACATACACTCTCTCATACTGTTGAAAAAAGTCCATGGTTCCAGATATAATGACAGGTTAATTATTAAACTCTTTCACATTCATAAACCAAAATTTACGTGCCCTAGTTCAAAATTCAAACTAAAAATTAAACTGTAATTAAAATCATGCAATTACATCACAATTGATCATCCTAATAAGGCGAAGGTAAGTTGCTTTCTTGAACTGCTGCAGCTCTTGGGTTATAGCAACACACAAAGTATTGTTAAAGAGAGAGGTCCAGGAATTGACCCAATGACAGTGAAGAAGCGTGATATAGTTTCAATTCATGGTGGTGTGTGACTTGAGGCAAAATTGAAGACGGTGGTGTTCCCATTTGTCTGCTGCCTTGTACTTCTAAATAGTGGAGGTTGCAAGTTTTGGAAATGATGTTGGAGGAGCTTTGGTGAGTTACTGCTTTGCATTTTGTAAATGCTATGTACTGCTGCCACTGCCTGTCAGTTCTGAAGGGAGCTGATGTTGAAAGTGGTGGATGAGGTGCTAATCAATTGGGCTGCTTTGCCCTGGATGGTTTCAAGCTTCCTGGTTTTGAACAGGTCATTAGCTTGGTGGTGAGAGTAGTGTCATGGATGTTGTCTACACAGGTGGCCACAAACTATTAATGAGGATTTGTACAAAAGATAATTAGCAAAGATATATTGCAGGGCATATAAGCCAAACTTGAGACTGGGTACGTAGTTGGTTAGAAGGCAGGATAGAGAAAGAGTAAAGTCTAAAGGGTTCATTTTCTGATTGGCAGAATTTGATAAGTGGTGAGGTCCAGGGTCCAGTGGTGTGTAATGGGGCCTCAGCTTAGCATCCTGATTTCTTAAACCTGGATAAATGAATAAAGACTGAAAACAAATAATGCTGGAGATTGCAGTGGGTCAGGCAGCATACGTGAAGAGAAAGCAAGCGAACGTTTCAAGTTTAGATGACTCTTCATCAGAGCTGACGTGAAGTGTGGAGGGGGCAGCATTTATGCTATGGGGAGATGGGGAGGGTGGAGTGCTGGGGGAGAAATGATGTTGATAGTTCAGATTAAGTGGTTGGAATTGTATGTCTGAGTTTGGAGGTGCTGAGTTAAGAACAGGATGTTCTGCAGATAAAATCAAGAAGTTGCAAAGGGACATGGCAGACTGATAATTCAATTAAGTCCTCACATGTCTACCACTTTAGATTTAAGCAAGAAAATTTGGTACTTCTGAGAAATCTGGATCTGTGGAGGAGTAAAAAAAATTGTTTATGCACCCAATCACTGAGGGACTCATGCAAAGAAACAAAGTGTAATCAAAATGCTAATGCAATGTTGACGTTTAATCATATGGAGTGGAATTCAAAAGTAAAAGTTGTATTCAGTTGTATGGGGCTTTCGTAAGACTCCATCTGGAGCAATGTTTTAGGAACTTGGGAAGAGGGCTAATGGACCTTAAAGAGAGAAATTGAGGACAGGATGCATGAATTTGTTTTGCATTGTCCTAACCTAATTGAGATGTTGCAAACGATGAAGGATTTAATAGGGTGAATGTAAATAAACTATTTCCTTTGGTGTAGGAATCGTAAGAAAGCAGTATAATTGTGGGAGGAGCCCCATACCGTTTTGGAGTGAAATCACGAAGTATTTATTCAAACAAAGGGTAGTAAAAACATAGAACTCACCTTGATAACAAGGTGTAGAGCTGGATGAACACAGCAGGCCGAGCAGGAAAGCTGACGTTTCGGGCCTAGACCCTTCTTCAGAAATGGAAGAGGAGAACGGGATTCTGAAATAAATAGGGAGAGAGGGGGAGGCGGTTAGAAGATGGATAGAGGAGAAGATAGGTGGAGAGGAGACAGACAGGTCAAAGAGGCAGGGATGGAGCCAGTAAAGGTGAGTGTAGGTGGGGAGTTTGGGAGGGGTTAGGTCAGTCCAGGGAGGACGGACAGGTCAAGGGGGTGGGATGAGGCTAGTAGGTAGGAGATCGGGATGGGGCTTGAGGTGGGAGGAGGGGATAGGTGGGAGAAAGGACAGGTTAAGGAGGCGGGGACAAGCTGGGCTGGTTTTGGGATGCGGTAGAGGGAGGGGAGATTTTGAAGCTTGTGAAGTCCACATTGATACCATTGGGCTGCAGGGTTCCCAAGCGAAATACGAGGTGCTGTTCCTGCAACCTTCAAGTGGCATCATTGTGGCACTGCAGGAGGCCCAGGATGGACATGTCATCTGAGGAATGGGAGGGGGAGTTGAAATGGTTCGCGACTAGGAGGTGCAGTTGTTCAGTGCGAACCAAGCGTAGGTGTTCCGCAAAGCGGTCCCCAAGCTCCCGTTCCTCAGACGACATGTAACCATTTTAACTCCCCCTCCCATTCCTCAGACGACACGTCCATCCTGGGCCTCCTGCAGTGCCACAACGATGCCACCCGAAGGTTGCGGGAACAGCACCTCATATTTCGCTTGGGACCCCTGCAGCCCAATGGTATCAATGTGGACTTCACAAGCTTCAAAATCTCCCCTCCCCTTACCGCATCCCAAAACCAGCCCAGCTCGTCCCCGCCTCCCTAACCTGTCCTTCCTCCCACCTATCCCCTCCTCCCACCTCAAGCCCCACCCCTATCTCCTACCTACTTGCCTCATCCCGCCCACTTGACCTGTCCGCCCTCCCTGGACTGACCTATCCCCTCCCTAACTCCCCACCTGCACTCACCTTTACTGGCTCCATCCCTGCCTCTGAACCATCTGTCTCCTCTCCACCTATCTTCTCCTCGAACCATCTTCTCCTCTATCCATCTTCTATCCTCCTCCCCCTCTCTTCCCATTTATTTCAGAACCCACTTCCTCTCCCCCATTTCTGAAGAGGGTCTAGCCTGCTCCTCTCATGCTGCTTGGCCTGCTGTGTTCATCCAGCTCTACACCTTGTTATCTCAGATTCTCCAGCATCTGCAGTTCCTACTATCTCTAGAACTCTCCTTGTATAGTTTATGGATGCTGGAACAATTGACATTTTCAAATCTAAGGTTGATAGATTTTTGTCAGGATAGGACATTAAAATAGGGAAATTGAAGCTGTGTTGCAAATCAGCTGTAATCTGTTGGAATGCTGGAACAGACTGCTGTATTCCTGTAATTACAAGTGTCCTGACCCGAAACGTCAACTTTCCTGCTCCTCTGATGCTGCCTGGCCTGCTGTGTTCCTCTAGCTCCACACTGTTATCTCTGACTCCAGCATCTGCAGTTCTTGCTATCTCTCCCCCTTCTGTCTGCTGTTTCTCCAAAACTTTAATGGCGGAAGTCTAATGAATACTGATTTTATTTTTTTGGTCATGCACAAAAATGAAAGGATTTTATGAGCTTCATTGGGGAATTGAATTCCCCCAATCAAATATTCAAATTGTATCTCACTGAAAAAAAAACACTCCCAAATTATTTTAGGGTTGCTTTGCTATTAAAAATGTAGCAAACATTACTGAATCTGCTCCTGATTGGACAAGCCCAGTTCTAAATTGTGGGAATGGGGTAAATGGTAAATTCAATGACAATTTGCTTTTAGGTATTACATTTAAAATAAAACCCTCGACTTTTCTTTCACGTTAATGGCAAAATCTGAGGGGATATCGGAAATGGAGGGGGTGAGGGGGAGTGGAGGGTAGTGGTTTGGAGAAGAGCTGGGCACCATTATTGGGCCAATCCCAAGAAAACTTCTAAAACCTGTTATAAATGTGTTGAAAGGATTCTAAAGTTCGTAACAAAATTTAAAAAGTGTCACAAATATTTGAAATATTGTAAATCACTCAAAAAAACATATCTGTCTTTGCACTGAAAACAGACCTTGGGTGTGTCTCAGCTTGTGCTTTACCATTGAAATGCCATGCTGGAAATCTTTGCTGCTTGTCTGAACATTACACTGAACTGCAGGAAGAAGAAACAGCTCACACTGCGGCCTGCCAACAATGTTATTGAGCAGCAGATTCACTGAGAGGTGAAAATCTGAATTGATAGAATGTCCCAAGTGACTTTTCAGGAATGTTATAAAACAAAAATTGATATCTTGCCATATTGATTGCATGTTGAACAATGTTACAGCGGTGGCCAAAGGTTTTATTCCAATTGGTATATTTTAAGGAGGATTTAACAATGTAAAAAGGTATAAAGAGGGAATGCCAGAACTTAGAGCCAGTGCAGCTGAAAGCATACCCACCAGTAAGTGGTACAACAAAATTGGGATTGCTTAGAAGACCAGAATTGAAGTGCAGATTCTGTAGAGAGTTGTGCATCTATCAGACATTACCATGTACAAGACATAAGGTAGGAGTGTGATGGAATAGTTTCCACTTGCTTGGATGATTGCAGCTCCAACAATACTCAGATCAGCATCATCCAGGACAAAGCAGCACAATTGATTGGCAACTCATCCACCACCCTAAACATTCATTCTCTCTAGCGGCATTGCATGTGGCAGTATGTACCATTTACAAGTGAACTGCAGCAACTTGACAAGGTTCTTTCAGCAACATCTTTTAAATACACAACTTTTGCCACCTTGAAAAGGGCAGTAGATGCATGAGTACACCGTCATTCTTCTAAACCACATATACCATCCTGACTCAGAATCATATGACTGTTGTGTCACTGTTGCTGTGCTCGTACTTCCTCTATAGCAGCACCGAATGTACTTAAATCACGGACTACGGTGGTTGAAGATAGCTGAGTGCCACCTTCTCAATCACAACAAGGGATGGACAATAAGATCTTTTTCCTGTACCCCCCCGACAATGAGGAAACATATGTGACAGGAGCTACCAAAATAGTACCACTTCAATATTCTGAGGAAATGTTAGAGCATGTGCCAATACTCTGCCTCTTCTGGTGCCAGCATTGTGGCCTTGCCATAACCACAAAGACATCTTTCCCATTGAGATTTAGACCATATGAATCAGCTGTCTCTTCTACTCTCCTCTCTTCCACTAGCCCATCAGGGCAAACTGCCTCTGAGTTTGCCTCCTGTCCTAGCATCGAACTTGTATCTTACCCTAGTCTCTCTCCAAACTTCTCTCATGTCCCTCTGAATTAATCTTATCCATGAAACTCACTTCTTGTTCCTTTGGTCCCATTCTCGTCTTTTCCTGGTCCCCACGTTAGCTGATATTATTAGTTCTCTCTCCTCAAGTACTGTCTTACATTTAGGGGGAGGTGGTGGCCTAGTGGTATTATCGCTGGACTGTTAATCCAGAGACCTAGATAGTGTTCTGGGAACCCAGGTTCAAATCCCACCATGGCAGATGATGGAATTTGACCTCAGTAAATATCTGGAATTAAGAATCTAGTGGTGCCCGTGAATTGATTATTGGAAAAACCCATCTGGTTCACTAATGTCCTTTATGCATGGATACTGCCATCGTTACCTGGTCTGGCCGACATGTGACTCCAGACCCACAGCAATGTGGTTGACTCTTAATTGCCCTCTTGGCAATTAGGGATGGGCAATAAATGCTGCCCAACCAGTTAAAAAAGATTTAATATTGCCAATATCACCCGACTCCTCAAAAATACTTCTTTCTCCCACTGTCCTTGTAAACCTCAAATCCAGCTCCAATGTCGTTTCCTTTCCAAACTCCTTGAACACCAGTGCCCCCCGATTCAATGCCCATGTTACCAGACTTCCATATTTGACGTCTATAGACTTCCCTCGGTGACACCCTCTGAAAACACAGCATTTGATTTTTATCCACATACACAAACACTAGCCAGCTCTGCCACACCACTCCTTAGACTCTTCTTTGTTACTAAATGATCACATTGCTTGTCTGACAGCCAATACTGCATCAGCAGAAATGTCTTCCAATTAAATATTGCAAAGACAGAAGCTATTGTGTTTGATTTCAGCCGTAAACACCTTCTCTACCCACTGATTCTTGTCTAAGCCTGAACCAAACTATTCATAACCTTGGCCTCATAACTGATCCCAAGAAGAGTTTTGAACTATATATCTGCTCCGTTGTTAAGTCCACTCATTTTCATCAACATTTCCCACAACAGACTCAATCTATCTGTTGCTAAAACCCCCATGCTTTTGTTACCACTGAACTTTACTACTCCAATGCACTGACAGTCAGTCTTCCACATTCTACCATACGTAAAACTGTAGCTATCCAATCTTTGCTGCCTCTGCCTGTGATTCCCAACAAGTCCCGTTTGCTTACCACCCCTGTGTTAGCTGATCCATGCTGGTCAAACAACATCTTGATGTTTAAATCCATACGCAGTTTTCAAATCCTTTCATAATCTCACACTTCCCTATCACTAATCTCCTACAGACCCACAACCTTCTCTTTTTGTCCACCTAGAAGTGGTGTTTATACGATTCACAATGTTGCTGAGTAGGAGATAGTAGGAACTGCAGATGCTGGAGAATCCGAGACAACAAGGTGTAGAGCTGCATGAACACACCAGGCCAAGCAGCATCATAGGAGCAGAAAGGCTGACGTTTCAGGCCTAGACCCTTCATTTCTGGTGAAGGGTCTAGGCCCAAAACGTCAGCCTTTCTGCTCCTATGTTGCTGCTTGGCCTGCTGTGTTCATCCAGCTCTGCACCTTGTTGCTGAGTAGGTAGTTGAGTTAAGGACTGCTTGATAGCACCGTCTGTCATATTGCTGCTGGTTGCAAATAAACTGATGATGCAGTAATTGACTGGATTAGGTTTGTCCTGTTGATGTGAACAGAACACATCTAGTCAATTTGCCACATTGTCAGGTTGACTTCAGTGTTGTAGCTGTACTGGAACAGCCTGGCTAGGGCATGGCTAGTTTTAATCTTCAGTACTGTTGCTGGGATGTTATCAGTATCTGTGGGATTTTTTAAACCTAGTGCCTTCAGCCTTTCTTGATATGAGGTGAGGTGAATGGAATTCACTGGCATCTACAATGGTGGAAACTCAGGAGATTATGGAATAATTGGCTGCTCGGAGGTTCATGAGAACAACCCTGTAGAATGGTTACCCTTTGTTTCCTTCCAGAGGAAGGATAAGGCTGACCTCTGCTTTCTCAATAGCTTGGTAAGTGAGCAGTTGCAGCTGTGAAACTGAGTTATCAGCCTGCAGAGCTATGCTGGAATTTTAGTGCACTGTACCATAATATTGTCCTTAACATGGCTGCTACTAAATTAGTAACTCATATATATCTTGCATTATTAAGATGGATGAAAGACAGCCTCAAGTGTTGATTATAGCAGAGTTTAATGTACCATCACATTCCACATAAAGCATTTTTTTTGTTTGATGTAGGAACACATTGAGATGGAGCAACACAGCAGCCAATACATCAGAAGAAACTCATTACTCCACATTGACAGCTGGCCTGTCAGAAGCAACTCTAGAACAGAAAATGAAAAAACACAGTCTTTCACCTAAAGGTGGATCCGGTTTCAATGGAACTGGGAACTGTTGTATAAAATTGGGACACTCGAGAATCCTTGCTGCATCCCCACACAGGACATCTTTAGGAGCGGTGGACTTACCATTACCTAGTTACCATGATGAGGGAGCTTCAGCAAACCGTCCTGCACCAGAAAGTACACATGCTCCTGGTCCTGAGTCTAACATGAAAAGTCAGAATAAAGTTCAACCACATCTAACAGCTGATGTGTCAGGATCATCTAGTAAACAAATTGAATCTACTCATGATAGAACTTGCATTGAAGGGTCACTATCTTTACAAGATGATGTTCAGACGTCATTGGCATATTCAGAATCTACTAATGACTTCTCCCTTTGGCAGCAATCAGTCTCTTCCTCCATCCGGACAGATACTCATTACACAACAGAAAGTAAGAGGACTTTGTCATCAAATTTGAAAAACTCTGTTGAGGTTTTATCTTCAATACCTAAACAGGATGGTCATGTTCTTATTCCATCGCCACCTTTGGGTGAAAAGCCCATTGGTGCTCAACCGAGGAACACGCACAGAGTGAGAAGAGCCCGAGTAGACAGCTTGGCTGGCAGTGCGTGAGCAGTGAATCTGGCCTGAATGTTCCAGTGAGCTGGCTTCAGTTTCGAAGTTTGGGTTCATTTGCGTTAACCTGAATCGATTATCATTAAAGAATAAATGCCAAAGTGCCCCACATCCACTGTTTTGATTAGTTTACTTGTTTACTTCCACCATCCTACCTCATTTTTACATTATGATGTGTGCTAAATAAGATAATAATAAAACTGGATACCAAAGATATTTACTTTCTTTGTATTAACTAAGTCATTTATGTTTAGAGCTTTTTTAGAATTCAGATATGTGCGACCACCCAAAATGCCCTTAAAACATTTTTGCTGACATATTGAAGTTATTTTAAATAAAATTGGGAGAGATATAAAATTGGCTACCAATTCACTAGTGCCCACTTTACATATCACCCAGATCAATATGATTCCTTTGGGTTGTAGCTGTTTATACAGTGTGGGCTCTGAGCACTAGATGGCACTGTAGAGCAAACTATGTTTTTAAGCACCCGATACAATCAGGCACTTAGAAAAAGGAGGTAAAAAGATGAGGAAATTCTAACTGAAAATATTGTTCCGCTTTGGTAAAATTTAGCTCCTATGAATCTCTGTGTGGGTCATTTCCTGTTGAAGTCCTCTTTGCTTCTTATCTTGCCTAGCACTGCAAAAATGTAAAAGATAAGATGACCGATTATTTCCATTTTGTATCCACCACTACACACTTGCGAGTATAGGAATGATGAGATAAGACCAGTTAATGCATGGCTGGGGAAATGGTTCTGGAGGGAAGGCTTTAGATTCTTGCTGCATTGCAACTTGTTCTAGGGCAGGAGGAACCTGTACAAAGTGGAAGGGTGCATTTTCATACAGCTCAGATCAATGTCTTTGTATGCAATCTAAATGGTTAGCAGTCCTTTTCCCTTTATTAATTTAGCCCCACCCACACTCTTCTATTTTTATTATATATCTAAGAGTACGTCCTCAACACCAATTCATGCTTCCCTTCAAACTGTTTTTAAGACCCAAATTCTGATCCCTGCACAAAATTCCATTCAACCAGTTTTGGGTTCTCTCCATCTACCCCAATGCTAATTTTATTTTGCAGCTTGTTTCTCATTCTGTCAACTTGCACCCGTCTCCCCAGTTCAGCATTTCTCATCTGATCTGTGACACCTTCACTCTTTCCAGTAAGCATTTTCTGAACTATTGATCATGTTTCTCAGTTAGTCACTGCTCAGCCCTCATGTCCACAGTTTGCACTTTAGTCAGCTGAGTTTACCATTTGAATTTCTATTGTATCTATTGCATGACTAACTGCAAAAAATCCTCCTCCTACAGGTTTCTGGGCCTTGATATTCATCCTGGAGCAGTCTCTAACTAATCCCACCTGATGTTTTCTTTAAGTTGGTCTTCCAGTGTTTGCGAGTGCCCAATTGTGCTACTCCACTGATAGGCTTCCATGAATTCTTCCCAATCCTTTTCACAGTCACTAACCCGATTACTGCCCCATGCTCATTCCACAATTATCCTACTCCCTTCTTCTCCATTTTTGTCCTTGTTTTCTTCTATTTTTCATCAGTCAGGTGGATAAATCCCTGGGACCTGATCAGGTGTACCCTAGAACTCTGTAGGAAGCTAGGAAAGTGATTGCTGGGCCCCTTGCTGAGATATTTGTACCAACGATAGCCACAGGTCAGGTACCAGAAGACTGGAAGTTGGCTAACGTGGTGCCATTATTTAAGAAAGACGGTAAGGAAAAGCCAGAGAACTATAGACTGGTAAGCCTAACATCGGTGGTGGGCAAGTTATTGGAGGGAAACCTGAAGGACAAGATTTACATGTGTTTGCAAAGGTAAGGACTGATTAGGGATAGTCAACATGGATTTGTGCGTGAGAAACCGTGTCTCTCAAAATTTATTGAGTTTTTTGAAGATGTAGGGGCGGTGTGATGGCTCAGTGGTTAGCACTGCTGTCTCACAATGCCAGGGACCTGGGTTCGCTTCCATCCTCAGGGCGACTGTCTGTGTGGAGTTTGCACATTCTCCCCATGTCTGCGTGAGTTTCCGCTAGGTGTCCAGTTTCCTCCCACAGTTCAAAGATGTGAGGTTAGGTGGATTGGCCATGCTAAATTGCCCATAGTGTCGAAGGGTGTGTAAGTTAGGTGGATTAGCCATTGGAAATGTAGGGTACAGGGAAAGGGTGGTGGGAACAATCTGGTGGGATGCCTTTTGGAGGGGTAGTGTAGACTTGTTGGGCTGAATGGCCTATTTCCACATTGTAGGGATTCTGTGAAGTAACAAAGAGGACTGATGAGGATAGAATGGTGGACATGATCTATATGGGCATCAGTAAGGTGTTTGACAAGATTCCTCATGGTAGACTGGTTAGCAAGGTTAGATCACACAGAATAGAGAGCTAGCTAGCCATTTGGATACAGAACTGGCTCGAAGGTAGAAGATATGGGATGGGAGGGTTGCTTTTCAGACTGGGGGCCTGTAACCAGTGGTGTGCCACAAGGATTGGTGCTGGCCCCACCGCTTTTTATCATTATATAAATGATTTGGATGTGAACAAAGGAGGTATGGTTAGTAAGTTTGTGGATGACACCAAAATTAGAGGTGTAGTGGACAGCAAAGAAGGTTACCTCTTGATGAGATGGGGCAATGGGCTGAGGAGTGGCAGATGGAGTTTCAGATAAATGTGAGGCGTTTTGAAAAGGCAAATCAGGGCAGGACTTATGTACTTAATGGTAAGGTCCTGGGGTGTGTTGCTGAACAGACCTTGGAGTGCAGGTTCATTGTTCCTTGAAAGTGGAGTTACAGGTAGATAAGATAGTGAAGAGGCGTTTGGTATGCTTGCCATTGTTGGCCAGTGCATTGAGTATAGGAGTTGGGGTGTCATGTTGTGGCTGTATAGGACATTGGTTAGGTCGCTATAGGAATACTGCATGCAATTCTGGTCTCCCTGCTATAGGAAAGATGTTGTGAAACTTGAAAGGGCTCAGAAAAGATTTACAAGGATGTTGCCAGGGTTGGAGCATTTGAGCTGTAGGGAGAGGCTGCATACGCTGGAGCTACTTTCTCTGGAGCGTCGGAGGTTGAGGGTGATTTTACAGAGGTTTATAAAATCATGAGGGGCCAGGATAGAGTGAATAGACCGGGTCTATTCCGTGTGGTAGGGGAAGTCCAAAATTAGAGGGCATAGGTTTAACGTGAGAGGGGAAAGATTTAAAAGGGACCTAAGGGACAACTTTTTCATGCAGAAGGTGGTGCATGTATGGAATGATCTGCCAGGGGAAGTGGTGCAGGCTGGTACAATTACAGCATTTAAATGGTATCTGGATGGGTATATGAATAGGAAGGGTTTAGAGGGATATGGGCCAAATGCTGGCAAATGGGACTATATTTATTTAGGATATCTGGCCGGCATGAATGAGTTGGACCGAAGGGTCTGTTTCTGTGTTGTACATATCTACGACCCCAGTTAGCTTTTCTTTTGCCTATGCCTCCACCTCCTCCCCTTAGCTGTCCTCCCTCTCCTACTTCTACCTTTACATCCTTATTTCTCCAAGCTCCATTCTCATCCTCCTTTGTCTATTGCCTTATATTTTTATCTGTTTTTTCCCTTCCTCACCCATTTGATAGAATTAGACCGTTACCTAATGTTTTGCTTCACTTGAAAACTGCGTTGGGGCTTATTTTATCACTGGATTGCTATTCTTTGTTATTTTAATAAAACTACTTATGCTCTTTGAATATTTTTAAAAAATGATTGTTTGACCTTTGCTGAGCAGTCAAATACCTAATACAACATTGTCAGCACCCAAAGATACTTTCATCTGCTGTATGGAGCATGATCGAGCATTAATTTTGGAAATTGGGATCTATTTTCAGAGTTTCTGAATAGGATGGTAATACTTCGAGAATTTCATTTCCAATCCATCTGCTGCCAGTTTCTAACTGGTTCTGGAATTAGGGACACAATAAGCAAAAGACCTTTCCTGTGC